CCAAATATGAAATAATTTGAAAGCTAAATATTTTCATCAAAGAATTAGGACTTTTTGAGGAGAACATGTTATCATATTACACAGGAATCCCATTTACAATTTAAATTTCACTTCTTTCCTCAAAAGGAGGAAGGAAGAAAAATTTGCAAGTGACTGTAAAAGCTTCTCCAGAAATTCAAGGCAGTCTTTCTGAAAGATGTATGCATGATGAAAGGCCAAAGCTCATTTCAAGTTGAAACTGGCCAGTGCTGTATCCGACAACAAAAAGGGCTTTGTTAAGTCCATTAATAGCAAAAGGAGGTCTAAAGAGCACACTGGACTTGTTGATTATGGTCACCTGACTAATAGGGACAACAATAAAGCAGAGGCAGCCATTATTTTTACCTCAGTCTTTAATAATACTGGTAGACCTTGGGCTGTCCAGTCCCTGAGTTGGAGGGCCACGAGTGCAGGAACAATGACTTTCCATTTGTGGACACTTAAATTGTAAGGGACCAGCAGTATCAGCTGAATGTATTCAAGTCCATGGGGCCTGATAGGATTCACCCCAGAGTACCGAAGGAGCTAGAGGACGTTATGGCAGAACCCCTCTTGATCACTACTATCCTGGAATCTGGGTTGGTCCTCGTTGACTAAAATCTAGCCAATGTTATTCCAATTTACAAAAACGGTGTGAAAGAAGACCCAGGAAATTACAGGTCTGAGGTTAGTCTAACCTCAGTTCATGGAAAAATTATGGAGATTATACTGGGTACTACTGAAAGGCATTTAAAGAACAATGCAATCATCAGGCACAGTCAACATGGGTTCACAAAGGGAAAGTCTTTTTTAACTAATTTGATATCCTTCTACGATAAGGTCCCCTGCAGATGAAGGGTGGTGGTAGATGCATATTTTTTTATTTTAGTAAAGCTTTTGATACTGTCCCTTACAGCATCCTCTGGGACTACCTGCCCCACACTGTGGGATGAGCAGGATCACGGTGCACTGGTTGAAGAACTGGCTCAAGGGCAGAGCCCAGAGGATTGTAGTGAACGGGGCTACGTCTGGCTGGCAACCAGTCCCCAGTGATGTTCCTCAGGGTTCAATTCTAGGGCCCGTTCTGTTCAATGTTTTGGTCAAAGATCTGGATGCAGGAGTTGAATGCATCATTAGCACGTTTGCTGAGGATACCAAACTGGGAGGTACTGTTGACTCTCTTGAGGGACAAGAGGTCTTGCAGAAGGATCTCGATAAGATTGGATCATTGGACTATCTTCAGTAGCATGAAATTTAACAGGAATAAATGCCAGATTCTGCACCTGGGACAGAGGGACGCTGGACACAAGTATTAACTGGAAGAGAAGTGCCTGGAGAGCAACAGATCCCCGCAGAAAGGGATCTGGAGGTGCTGGTCGACAGCAGCTTCCATAGGAGTCAGCAGTGTGTCCTGGCAGCCAGGAGGGCAAACTGTACCCTGGGGTGCATCAAGCACAGCATCACCAGCTGGTCAAAAGAGGTGATTGTCCTGCTGTATTCAGTGTTGGTGTGGCCTCATCTTGAGGACTCTGTGCAATCCTGGGCACTACAATAGAAGAATGTCCTTGAATGCATTCAGAGGAAGGTAAAGCTGGTGAAAGGGCTGGAGGGAATGTCCTGTGAGGAGTGGTAAGGACTCGTGTGTTTGTCTAGTTTATAGAAAAGGAGGCAGAGGAGCAACCTCATTGCTCTCTACAGCTTCCTGAGGAGGGGATATGGAGGGGGAGGTGCTGAGCTCTTCTCCCTGGTATCCAGTGACAGGACACATGGGAATGGTTCAAAGCTGCACCAGGGAAGGGTCAGGTTGGACATGAGGAAGCATTTTTCCACCAGGAGAGTTGTCAAACACTGGAACAGGCTTCCTGGAGAGGTGATCAAAGCCCCAAGCCTGTCAGGGTTTAAGAGGTATTTGGAGAGTGCCCTTAATAACAGGCTGGTCAGCCCTGAATTGGTCAGGCAGTTGGACTAGATGATAGTTGTAGTTTCCTTTCAACTGAGATATTCTATTCTATGACAATATGACTTGTAAGCATTGTATATACAAAAAAAGTCAGCAGTATAACAACAGAAAAAGTCAGTAGTATAGCAAATATTTTCAAAACACGTTTCACCACCTAGTGTTTTATTTTTCAGAGGTTTCTCTAAACCCTAAAGAAATTAAATTGATCTCTTGTCAAAAAAGCATCAAACCATTTTTTTCCCATTGTTGTTACAGTAAAGAGAAAAATGCTGAGCCTACAACCATAAAGGAAGCAGTCACAGAGATCAGTGGTCACCATCATGAGAAAAAGTTTCTGTTTCTACAATATTATATTTATATAATATACAAAATTATTTTTCTTCTTATGCTGAAATCCAAAGTAATTTAAGAAAATAGAAGGAATTCAAACAGCAGGTTATTTGCCTTACACAGCTGATGGAAGAATCTCAAACACATCTAACATCCCTCTAACAGCAGCTGTAGCCAATATCAAACCCGTTTGGTCTCCAGTAGCTTCAGCAGTCATTTTTATTTAAGAATAATATACTATTTTACATTGAAATGAAAAGGTGACGCTTTTCCATACTTTGCTCTGGAAGCCAAAAAGATCAAATAAAAATAACAAGCCCTCATACTGCAAATGAAAATATCTTGTTAAGAAGTGACTTAAGAACTGAAAGCATTCATTCTTCATTGCTCTCTCAAAGTCTGTGAGTTTCAACTAAACTCCAGAAGCTGAAACCTAAATATTTTAGCTGGCTTTATGCTACGCACTTCTTGGAAAGTTAATACTATGTCAACTCACTGAGTAGTTTGTTTTCTCAACTTTTTTCACCTTGTTGCAAGATGTTCTCGTAAATTGGCAGAATCTAGAATTTAGACAAGCTCACTTGAAAGTTGGTGTGGTATTTTAAAAATTAAAAATTCAAATCAAACTGTGAAGGTTTGCAGGTTTTTGACCAGAGATGGAATCTCAGCGCTCAGCCTACTCTTTCTTCTCTGTGTTATTTATGGTTCTCCTACTAAGCAACTGTTAAAA